TGGAACAATATGCACCATGGCGTCATTTTCAAGAAGAAAAAGAAAGACAAAAACATGTAACGGCAATGATAGAAGAAATATACAATGATTTGAAGAAAGAAGTAAAACAAGGAAAAGATTTGACTTTATCGAAATATGATATGACTATTTTACTTGAAAGGAAACTCGGAGAATTACCTTCATCCTTAGATGTTGAAAATATGTGGATGGATCGTTTTCGTTTGCCTCTTGTTAAATGGCTTGAATAAACTAGTTAGTTGTACACTATTACTCTTTTTTCCTGTTCTTGGTGTTAAACAAGCAATTGTTTATATTGCAGAAAAGCTCGACTTTATGTGTGAGAGTTTCTAATTATAATATTTTTATTTTTATTTTATGTCGATGTTTCTTGGCTTAATTCACATGACAGTTAACTACTAATCTTCTAGTCCTAAGGATGAGGTGAGTATGAATGTGGGGATGTGGACATGGATATGGGTGTGGGTGTGAGTGTGGGTGGTGTGGGTGTAGATCTGGGTGTAACACGTTCACATCCATACTCACCCCACACCCACTCACACCTACACCCTCAATGTAACAAGAATTCCATATGGACGAACATACGCTGGATCATTGATAATATAATAACGATACTTTGAACACTCTGGTATTCGAATCCTCAAGGAATGAATTCAACACTGTAAAGCCACTTATATGAAGCAATGTTTGTTATATTTTATTGGTTCAACTAGCCTACAGTTCGTCAAATATTCAAGTTTTGATGTTAAAAATATACCTTTTCCACATGTGCTTTGATTAAAGAATGGCGCATTAGGTCCGACATCTTTGAAGGTTGCGAACTGTTTATTGTCAGCATCACAACCGATTTTTAAGCTCTATTGACCTATGAATCATAAGGATTGTAGTGTATCACGTCTAAATCCGTGAAAAACAACAATCCATTCCTTTGCAGAGTCGTCAGAGGTTACCCATGTAGAATCACTTGCACCAAATTTTTCTGCATTTAAACCCTAACATATCCAACTTTTGAATGGTGTATAATAATCCCAATTACCGCAGGTTAACTTCGCTGCTTTCACGTTAGAATATCGAATAATGCCAATACTGTTTAACAAAGTTGATGAAATTCCAAAAAAACTCACTGGATCAAATTGTTCAAATGACACGATCTGGGTTACTTTCATTCCAAGAATTCCAGGAAATTAATGACATTCTAAACGAACATTCAGAAAAAAATATTAGTCGGTGAATTACGTCTCTTTAGGAACGTAGGGCTATGTGTCCTTCCAGCTGGCTATAGGTAGCGTCTGGAGATAAATAAAACTAGGGTGTGGGTGTGAATGTTGTTCTTTCAGTTACACCTACACCCACACCCACATCCTAGTTCTTTATTTTATCCTATTCATTTTTTATCTTATTTAAGTTTCAGTTGTTAGTTTTTTCAAATTTTTTATTATACTAACATAGCAAAAAATACAACAAACAAAAAGAACTATCATTTAGTCATTTATCTTGTTTATGGACAACTTCATTCATCAGTTGATAAACGACGACCAATTCATTCAAATGGAAGTATGTCCATGTCATCATTAATATCAGTTGTTGATGATACTATGGGTTTGTTGACTAATACCCATTGTTGATCAGTTCTTCTGTTCGGATAACAACGATAACTAATAATAAAAATACAGGCATTGCAGAATCATGCATACAGTTTTAGATGTTCGAGATATAATCTATCTATGTCAAGAGAAAGAAACAACTCACTCGACAAGATCATAATTATTTTGTTCATCATTTAGCAATAATATAGTTCGACCTTGTCGAGAACCAAGCAGAGGGTAGCGTGTAGCAGCAGTAGCAGCAGCAGCAGTATGAGCTGCAGCAACACGATAACGTTTAGTGCAGGCACTCGGATAATGAGCAGCGTCAAAAGCACCAACAATAGGAAAACGACCAGGATCAAAAGCATCAACAGTATCAATACTCTCAAAATCATCAGCAACTGAAGCAGCACGAACAATAGCTGGAACAACAGCACCAGCAGCAATAATAGCTGGAGCAGGACCAACAGCACCAGCAGCAACTGAAGCAGCGGTACCAGTAGCTTCAATTTGAATGGGTGTTAACCTGTCATTCGTCATCTAAAAGAAAGAACACGATGGACAAAGTGTTCACGAGACAGTTTGTGATGTTGCTACTTACGGATCTTCATAATGACTCCAGATATGATGAACTAACTATGTTTCCATCACTGTCACGATACATGAACGACATGTTCAAAATCAAAAAGAATTTTGATGTGCTAATGAAATCTAAAAATAAACATGCATGTTCATATGATGCACTATAGGAGTTTCCAGGAAACTCGAAAAATTTTCCAGCGGAAAAGAATTCCAGAAAATTGAAAAAAATCTCCTAGGAGAAAAAATTCCCCACTGAGAAAAATTGAGAAAATCCCAAAAAATTTCCTAGGTGAAAAAAAATTTCCGAACATTAAAATCAATTTCCAGTGCTTAATTGAACTTTTGTTTATGATATGGATTTCTAGAAGCTAAATACAGTTTTGAAAACACCTGTTTCCACTCCAGATAGACACACACATACATGACTAGTCTTCCATTGTGGATCCACCGAAACAGGAACATTCTCGTTCTCTCTCCATGAGGGTGAGGGCGGAATCTTGATTCGGTGGGCATCTCTTGAGGGTGAGGGTGAGGCGGAACCTTAATTCGGTGGGCATTTCTTGAGGGTGAGGATGAGGGCTGAGGAAGAACTGAACCAATTTCTTAGAAAGTGCATGGCATTTATATACAGTGGCCGCAACAATCTCATTCCTTTTCAGGAAAGAAATTTCCTGTGATAGAAATTTCTTTCCATTATGCCCAATATGCCCATTATGTCGATTATGTCCATTATACCCATTATGCCCAACTTGCTGATTATGCCCAATATGCCCATTACGACCAATATACACCACCCTTGAAAAGTAAGGGAATAAAATCAATTTCCCGGAAAGTGCTAAAAGACATCAAATCATGAAAACTGTAGCTGTTTATCTCATTCCCATCAACAGTTATTTAGATGACCGTAAAGTCTCTTTTATTTTGAAACGGGTAATAGTATCGTATCACATAGCCTTTCTTCTATCATAGATATTTCATGTGAATTATACTGACTACTTTTTCGTAATGCATCGTCACGATTTTAAATATGAAAATTCGTTTTTCATTGTCAAACAAACTAAAAATAGTATGTCGTTATCTCTCTTTATAACCGCATCATCATCAGTGAATCTGCATAATGATAAAAACTTTAGAAAGTCAGCACACCTATGTATTTACTATATGGTATCAACAGATCCGTATGATATTAAGATGTAAGTACATTGCAAAGAATGATAAAATAGAAAGAAAAGCTATTCGTTACTTTTTATCTATATTAAAAACAACTTTTTGTCTATATTAAAAACAACTTTTTGTCCTTTTTATTATTTTATTCGCGTATTTATGATGAATATAATCATAATAGTTTCACAATTTCAATTATATAATTCAAACAATGAATAGATATTTCTCATGTATATCCATGAAAATGTAATCAAATTGTGAAAAAAGCGACATGTGAAACAACACTGTTTTTCTTACTTTATCCTTGAATCTGATAAAATGAAGTTGACATGTTCTTTCTGTATTTTAGATGAAATTTTTCAATGCATTTTTACTCATATTTTTCTCGTTTGCTGGTGGAAAAATAGTTCTATTAGATGATACGGTAGCTTCCACGAATATAGTTGGGGATTCTCCTCCACCTGCTTATAATGTGACTATTAATGTAATCTGGGCATTCAGTATTGGAATCAATATCACAAATGTTGTGATGACCATTAACAATCTTAAATCATCAGAATATGCTGCTATGGGTCTCGGACAAAATCAATCTATGGTAAATATAAAAGAATAACTTTTAAAACTATTGGGGCAGGGGGGAATTTTTGTGATCCTTATTTTTCATGAGAAAGAAAAGATTAACTTTGATCCTCTTTTTGAAGATTGTTTTTTAATGAAAAAAAAGAATATAAAAACACAAGATGTTTTCTTTGTCCCACACCTAACTCTTTAAAATTATTATATTTCCTCGAATGTGAAGTATACATATAGGAATAAAATTTTCATTTCTAGGGTGAAGCTCATGTGTTTATGTGTAAACGATTTGCTAATGACACAATTGCTATAGAGCGATATGTAAATCCTAAGGATCATCATCATCCTGTGCCTGCTGGATCAGAGCAAGGTGGTGTATTTACACCTTTACCTTCAAAATTTACAGATGGTATTGTTACCTGCCAGTTCGTTTTGTCCAATTTTGATCTTCAAATAGTGGAACAACCTAACAAATTAAGACCACTTTCACAATCAGGAAAATATCATCCTATATTCGCCGTTGGATTGGTGAATTCTACGGGTAAGTCATTTTTTGAAACAGTGTTTTAAAAACTTTCAAATGTTTAATCCAGATTTTTCTTAAATGAAACTTTAAGAACAATTAAACTGTTCATATTTTTTAGGTGACCCACAATATCATGATGGACGTGAACCTCAATCTGCTCTTGTTCAATTAAATCAAAATCAAAATTTAATATTCCATCAAAACAGCTCCAAACTATTCAATGAAATAAATCCGAGCTCATAGAATTATTATGATTTTCGTATGAATATTTATTCTTCAAATTTGACAAATTAACATCAATAATAAAGTATTCATTTTATGATGATTATATGGTTTTAAAATAAATAAATAATTTTATGATAAGTGTTTTTTCTTAAAAGACTCCACCTGATAAGGGTCAAGATCTGCCACCTTTTGAAATCAGATGAAAGTCATATATTCTGAAAGCCCGTTTTTCGGCCCATACTTTGATATACTTCCTTTTGTCAAAATGGTTGACTAGAGAGCCGCCAGCGGATCATCTTTTGTACATCCCTATTATGAATTATAACAATTTTTGACATTTCTGGCAATCGCTACAACATATATTTTTTCTTTCAAAATGTTGCTTCCAAATTTATCAAAAGATGAAGCAAAACGTGCTCTAGGAAATGGTATAAATATATAAATTTTAAGTTGTTCTCATTAGGCGCCATAAGATCCACACATATAAGATAAGGGTGTGAGTGTGGGTGTGGGTGTGGGTGGATGTGAGTGTGGGTGGATGTGAGTGTGAGTGTAGATGTGGGTGTGGATGGGTGCGGTTGTGGGTGTATGTATGGGGTGTTGTTGTTTTTTACACGCCCACACCCACATCCACATCCAGACCCTTTGAACGAAGATCAACGTTTAGCCGCGGATGCAATTTTAGCAGCATATCATCAGCAGAAATCGCCAACTACTCCCTCATATTTCTTCATCGATGGACCTGGGGGAAGAACTACACATAGCCGCTTCAAGCTTCCTGTGCCTCTCTTAGAAATGTCCACATCAGGTGTTCGATCAAATACTAAAGAAGTCGAAGCAATCAGATTGACTGACGTTGTGATCTGGGACGAAGCACTAATAGTGCCATCGTATGCTCTGAAAACTGTCGATATACTCCTCAGAGATCTAATGAACGTAAATATTACTTCCAGTTGTACGATTTGCAAACAGATCTCAGCTGGTTGCTGCAAGTTTGAAGAGCTCAGAACTGTGGCATCATTTCAAGACTATTCGTCTTAGTAAAAATATAGTAGCAAAAGAAAATGATGAAATTTTAATTACCGTCAGCCTGTATATCAGATGGTAATTTAGCTGATGAAGTATTTGGCAAGCATATCTCTCTAGCAGATGTTAAAAATTTATGTGATAAAGTAGTTCTCTGTCCGAAAAACAAGCACGCTCTTATGGTAAATGAACAAGTCCTGCAACGCTTGCCGGCACAGAAAAGGCGTACACAAGTGTAGATGGAGTCGAATGTGAGGATGGGGAAGATATTAGTAACTATCCTACAGAATTTTTGAATAGCCTGACACCCTCGAGAATGCTTCCTCACAAACTGAGCCTAAAGATTGGCGCAATAGTTATGCTGCTTCGTAATTTGGATGTCTATCAAGGACTTTGAAATGGAACTCGACTTATTGTAAAACGACTACATAATCATACTACCGATTGCGAAGTTGCAATTGAATCGAACAAAGGAAAGATACCTTTTTGTCCTTCAAGTTGCGCAGGCATCAGTTTCATATTCATCTGTCATTCGCTATGACAATCAATAAATCGCAAGGACAAGCGTTTAATCGGTTAGGACTACTGCTGCCACAGCCAGTATTTGGTCACAGTCAATTATACGTTGCTTTTTCACGGGTGCACTCTCTAGCATCTATCCGTGTCCAAATTATCGATGAAAAACAATATCACAAACCGAATAGAACCAGGAACGTAGCGTTCCTTGGGTAATGTTAACGGGCCTCTGCAATCCCTTATGATACATATGACATCTGATAAACATACTTCGTCAAGAATCGAAAAAGCCGTGTAATTTGCACGGAGTATCGCTATTACATTTCATTTATGACAACATTTAGCTCATTTTTTGACCTTTTGATTCTTATCTGTGAGTTAGAATACACGTTCCATTATAAATCAGTTTTTCAATAAAATTCATTCTGTGCATTATATTTTTGTGCGGATTTGTATAATCATGAATTTTCCAGTTGCCGAATTTCTTTTTGAGGATATAAATATGAATATAAATCAGTATGTCTACCTAAATGTTCCAGTACATAGGCAGCACCTTGTGTCATTTTTTCATAGCCAAGAAGATTAATATTTTCTAATGAATCACAAAAGTCATGATAACAAGGATCATGTTCGACATTAGCTATGCCACCTTTTCCTTGTCCTAACATTCGATTATAATAATCTCTTTCTTCTTTGGTTTTTTTATCATACACGCCAGCATTTAAACCTGATATAACAATACCAGCTGCTAAAAACGGACCATAATCACTTCCACCACCAAGTTCACTCATAGTATATGGAAGATTTTGACTGATGAACCAATCACGAAATAATTGGGTTAAGCGAATACTACCAGGGATGGCTTTCGATGGGGCTGTACTCATATAAGTTGAATTACCATCATAGATACCTATTTGAAAGTTTGGTGATCCTAACATATCATAATTAAGATTTACAAGATAATCCGAAAGACGTTCGCCTTCGAAGATGCTTTGATTGGCTTGAAAAACATGATAATCAGACCCAACCAGTCCAACTTCTTCCGCACCCCACCAGCAAAATTTCACACGATATTTATACGGTTGATAAGATGAAGTTTGAAATAAACGAGCCAAGTTGGTTGCGAGGACAAGATTTGTTGCACTACCACTTCCTACAAGTCAAAACACATTTGAGGGTGATGTTTCAACAATATGAGAATGAACGAAGGAAAAGTTCATTCTTTAAAATGAGTCTCACCATTATCATTAATTCCCGGACCCTCTGGTACACTATCACTGTGACTGCCAATAAGAATAGTCTGAGTTGCATTACCTGTCAATGTATGAGCACAAATATTGCCAACGAGAGCTGGATATTTTGTCGTTGAGATACGAATTTTTATATGTGTATTTGTGGTTAAATTTTGTGCTGCATTTTTCAGATGTGTGCCAGCCTGGTAAGATAAAAACAAGACTGGAAATGTTGTATCTGGATGAACACGTCCTGATGTAGGAGGATATCGATCTGGTGTCGTACCATCATTATAAATAAGAAGACCAGCAGCGCCATATTTAGCAGCTAATACAGATTTTTCAGTATATGAACAAATACCACGCTTAACTAGAGCCACACTATTTGCCGATGGATATATTGCAGCTAACCAATCAGACTCATCACATCCGACATTTGGTATTGATGTTAAGCGAATTGGGTTCGTAAAACTGTTCGATCCAGAATATTTCAAGTATGTAAAATCTTGTTTCAAGCCATATGTAAAATTGGTTTCAATATTGTTGATGTACGCTGATAGGATGGGATCACTGTTTAATGTGAATGTTTTGTAAGGGAAATATTGTCTTTGAACTTTCAAATTGGTATTAATTGTTAAATAATTGTAAATATAATCAAATGTGCGATTGAATCCATGTGTGTGAATAGCACGAGTACCATTTGATTCATCCGCAAATTTTTGCATTTGTTGTAAATGATTCATCAAATCATCAATATGTATGGAACATACTAGCATACCATGACTACATACCATGATTACACTTGATTCAGATCTTCGGATAATAAGACCTAATATAGAGGCTGATAGTACTATGGTAGCCAATGTCATTAAAGTGAGAAATCCCAGTAAAACATATATTTTCTTTGTTTTTGTTGAAACATTCAATCGTTTGTTATCAGAGATGCCGGATAGATCAGCATGACTATTTGATACTTTAGTTGTCGAGAACATTCTACTAAAATCTATCAATAAAAACACTTTCTATTTTGAATTGTCATGGTAATTCGAATCCTATAGTAAACTGTATACAGAGAATAGAATGCGAATTGTTGATAAACATAAAAAAAAACGTGATTAACTTTATGACTTGATGGTCTAATGGTACTAATATGAAAAGAAAACTACAAATTGACAAACCTCACGAAGATTTCTTTTCAGATGCATTCAAGGAAGTTTTATCCCAGGTTCTATTATACCACATTCTCGAGCAGAAGTCTTTCTCCTGCACTTGTTTATATGCTGTCATACTCCAACTGAAATTTATTGTCGATTAAAGATATGGCATAAGAGGTGTATTGCAGTATGGTATAGATTACAATGAAATAAAACTTTCATGTCATATCTTTACTAGGTAATAAATTTAATTCAAAGTATTATAGTGAAGAACTATGAGGAAGACGAAAGGATTTTGTTCGGGAGTAAATTTTAACATAGCCTTAGGAATGTATAAATCTCTTTTCTCAAAAATTAAATGTTTCACTGTCTATCGAAAGAAATTAGCTATATTGTGAATCATGAAGAACAGTTGTCGCTTGGTCTTCATACATTTTTGAGTGTTTATGTGTGTTTCCTTCCGATTGATATTAGTCTACGGATTTCATTGATGAGTTGGAATCATAGTTTTGTCTTATCTTTAGGTAGTCCAAAAGGTTCGATGGAGTTGCTATTGTTTGTATCTCTTCTATTTTTGGTGCCGATATATCATTCAGCAAGCAACACCGGACAACCTATTGTCATTAGCACATGGCCGTTTCTCAATACAACGCGAAATGCATTTATGCAAATGATGTTGTCTAATGGTACGTCTTTAGACGCCGTCGAAACAGGCTGCCGAACATGCGAAGAAAAAAAGTGTGACGAAAGTATTGGTTGGGGTGATCGTCCAAATGGAAATGGCAAAACGACATTGGATGCTCTCATTATGGACGGACGGACGATGAGTGTCGGTGCCGTAGCCAGGTAATTAGTAAAATTAATTACAAAGGTGAATGAGAGTAAGGACATGAGGGAAACAACAATGTGGGTATTACAGAGTTCTATTGTAAAGTGCAAGATAGAATTGTTGGAAAGTCAAGTATCAATTTGCCTTCTATTTTAGTTTACATCGAATCAAAAATGCTATTGGCGTTGCTCGTGCTGTCATGCGTTATTCTCTTCATTGGTTGCTCGTCGGCGATAGTGCGACACGATACGGTATCGAGAGGGGTTTCAAGGAAGAAGATTAACATAGTAATATATCTATTGATGAATGGAATCAGTGGAAACAAGGCACTTGTCAACCAAACCATCGGAAAAACGTACCAACAGATCCGACAACAAACTGTGAGCCATATAAAGCTTTCTCGTCAGCTGAAATAGGTGATTCTACTCGGTATCATCGATTATCTTGGGACGAACATGACACTATCGGTATGATAGCTTTGGATCCGAATGGTGATATGGAAGTAGGTATGTCAACAAATGGACTGAGTTTCAAGATTTCTGGCCCTGTAAGCGATTCAGCCGTGATAGGAAATGGCGCCTATGTTGATAATGAAGGGGATGGAGCATGTGCTACGGGAAATGGTGACATTATGCGACGTTTCGTCCCATCATATCATGTCGTTCAACTCATGCGACAAGGTGAGTCACCCAGTGATGCTTGTACAGATGTTATCCAACGAATTACTAAGTATTATCCGGATTTTGATGGTGCTGTATTAGCACTTAGTAAGGATGTATGACATGGAGCTGCCTGTCATGGTTACGATTCTTCTCCTTATGCAATCATGCAACAAGGCTGGACAGAACCGAAAGTGATTGAAATTCCATGTGTCAGACGATCGCGTGAATAAAAACAAGTGCCTTTTTCCTTTATTTTTGTATTACTATACATAAAGTTGTAGAAAAAAAAGTTCAGTGACAAGATTGTTTCTCTTATGAATTTTGCTATGTCTTTGATAAGAATGACCACCGTTTGATGTTGTGAGAGTGCTTCTAGTGATTATTTCTATCGATATTTCAGAGATCTTTAGATTCAATGGAAAAGTCTTCTCTGGATAGAGATGGTTATTATTATTGCAAAAGAAAAGGAAATCTTTCTTTGTCAAAAAACTATTTTCAAATTCGCTTCGTTCTTGTTTGGATTTCCGTTTATAGAAGCGAATTTCTCTCGAGACTTTTGGATAAATTGAGTTTTCTACAAATATTAACGGCAGCAACCATCGTGGTCAATATGTTACAAACAGCTAAAATTGTAAAAAATAATCCTTCATGAATAATTTGCACGATTTGTACGGTAAATGTCAGAACAATCGATGTAGACAGTTGCTGGACAAAAGTATTTGCCGCAATAATACTAGCTGCATGTTCTTGATATTTCACTGTAAAGTATGAAATAACACCAGGACGAGATGCTGCCTGACCGAATCCAGCGAATACTTGTCCAAGTATAGGAACTGAAACATGTATAGCATTTTGAAAAGTCCATCCATAAATACTCAAGCCAATACTTATTAATATGGAAAATGATAATCCAGGGATCATACGTCCTTCGAGAAGTTTAGAGTTTTGAAAATATTTGATTGTTGCTAAATCAGATAATTTTCCGCCGATGACACTACCGATCAAAAAAGCTGAGGCGATGGGAATGAATAGTATACCAATTGTGTCTGGTTGGAAGGAATACGGTGCTTCACCCAATTCAGTAGGTACAAGCAGAAGACTACAATTCACTGCTATATAACTGCAAGCTAGCACAATAACATAGGGAATAATTGTGGAATCGATAAGATATAATAATGGCAAACATGGATTTGTTAATGTTGGTTTAGAAACTTGATCTAGTTCCAGTAAGTTTATTTTTTGTTGAATCTGATATTTACATATCACTTTATAATGCTGAGTTTCAGGTACAATGAGCACATAGCTTATGAATAAAATAAATGCAATCATTATAACCAAAGTAAATGTAGATCTCCATCCATAATACTGACATATCTCTCCACCAAGAGTGGGTCCCAAAAGACCAGCAGCAAAATAAAATGCGTAAAATATTCCATATGGAGTTCCACGACTGTTCGATTGGTATATATCAGCTATTGTTCCTTGTCCTATAACTAACGATACGGAGATAAAACATCCTTGTAATGTACGGAAGAATAACATTATGTAGATATTCTGGGCGAAGTAACATCCAACTGAAGATAGAATAAATGCAACAAGACCAAATATTGCTATCGGCTTGCGTCCATAATAATCTGCGAATACACCCCAAATAAGACTGGAAATACTCATTGCAAACAAATATACACTAATTGTTAATAAACCTAATGTTTTTGTAGTTTCTAGATCTTTAACCATTTTTAATAATGCTGGAAGATAAACAACTTCGTCAAATGAAGCTAAAAAGCCGAAGCAACATATCAGAAACAGTATGATATTTTTTTTGTATTTATCATGTGTATCATAAATACTTAATGGTGTTGTTGTAACGGCTATACCTTGCTCTTGATCACATATAGACTTCATTTAACTGGAATTATCTATAGCAGTAATAAATATTTTTTTTCAAAACACTCGGATCATGACAAGAAAAATAAAAGAGAAGGGAACCGAGATTGACACAATGATCTTGACAAAAAAGTCGAATATTAAATGTTGTTTTACTTCTATCATGTATCGTGTCATGACAAAATATTCTGCCAGAAATGAATTTTTACAGTAAATAAAAATGAAAACAAAAGAAAAGGGACGTCTGAATGAAAAACTTAGAATGATGTAGGATCTTGAACCTGAAAATTTTTCAGCACTATTCTTCAATACAGTTCATTTTAATAAAGACTTAGATTTAAAATATACATCCAATATCGATGTAAATGGCCAATTCAATATTATAAAGTCTGATGTGTAAAAAATAACAATATGAATACACTTAATCAACCAGGATTACACTCTTCTAATTTTTTTTTGTAGAATACTGTGTGGACCTCTTTTACAAAAAAAACGGAGTACTACTCAATTATCTGCTTCAAGGACAGTTTGTAATATGAAAATGAAATGCTGTTTGGTACCTCTGACTCGCATTTCTATTTTCATTTTTTTTCTCTTACATGATTTAGTCATTAGTTTAAGGCGTACACACATGCCTATTTCTCATCACTATCTGATTTATTGAAAGAGTAACGATACGAACAAAAGAGAAGCATTACAAATGAAGAGTCTATAGTCCAACCAAATGTCATACGCCTGCCTAATGCCTTTCTATTTTATTGATATCGTTTTTAACTCTTTGAGTACCAGCGACGCGAATTCGCGTCCTGATAGTTTAGGGTCTAAATAACTTTAGAAAACATAATCGTTTGATTATTTTATGATATGAATTACATGAATATTTGCGTTTAGAATATTTGTACGGTTAAGACTATTTGCACCTAGTGATGAATATTGGTTGTTCCCTAATATTTCTATCGATCACTATATGATTCAATGAATTAGAACATAAGTCACTGGACAACATTTCCCAAGAAAGAATAATCGTTATCAACAGGATTTTTCATATTAACACAGTCATTCAAGAGTGTTATCTATAGTAAAGGTTCTGATCAATTGATCACATTTGATAACATTTTTCTTCGCGCATTGGATCAACAGAGACTCAACTAAATTCAAGAAGAAAATGTTACGTTTGTGCCAATACTGTGAGAAGAGCCAGATCAAGAAGAGATACTTCGTATGAATGCATTGAATATGATGTAGGATTGTGTCTTATGGATTGTTTTAAAGACTATCACACTCTACAAGCATTTTAATTCATGTACTTTGTGATCTTTTTTGCGAAATAAACGTTAGTTTGAAATTATAAAAATTTTTATTATATAAAAATAAACCGGTACTCAAAGGGTTAATAAGGAATTAGTGCTCAATATTTATTTCGATATTGAAAGCAGCAACCATCCTGGATCAGCTATTAAAGCGAACGGATAGATGGGTCAGAACATAGGCATCACCGTTCCCGATCATCTGGCAGAACCCATGGTCCAGGTTGAGAAGAACGGCTAGAAAAAGCTCATTCTTATTTATCTGTAGAGTGTATCAATCGATTTTTGACTTGTGATCCGAGAAATAATGGAAGAAAAAGCACATTTTATCGTAGCTATTTGATTTCACGCGAAACTGTATTGTAGTGTTGATACATAATAAAGAACGTAATAAGATAGAAGGAAATTGAATACATAAAGAGAAGTTATTTTTGAACTAATTCGAGTAATTATCTATTGTCGATATCACTTATGCATCATCTTCCAATCTTTTTGGAATAGTATCGTATAACTCATGGGAATACGATCCTCATTCAGCAGCGTACATCCGAGCCTGTGCCACACTATATGACCCGAACATAGGATTTGTTGGTTTTTTCGATGGCATGATATTCAATGGTTCTGATTGCTGACAGATATGCTGGAAAAGATGGTTTTTCTAAGGAAAACGGATCAATGCTAATCTTTTATCTTACAATTAACTCCAATTAAATAACACTCCTTCACTTTTTTCTATTGATTGGTGGAGATATGATAGATCACGTTCCTTTTCTTCGATCAGGTTCATTTTCTGTTCCAGACAAAGTTCTCGACGGGATGCCCTAGGGAACTATTTGGTGATGAGCTCAGAAAGACTATAATGGTCAATTCTTCACCACCTAGACAGTTCAATCAAGAGGGTGAGTTTATAAGAAAATATTCCAAGCAATACTTACGACGATCGTTTCATTCTTGCTTAAGGGACCCGCCATGTAAGACTG